ATGTTTTTGGGATGTTTTTGGGGCTGGTTTTGGGATGTCTCTCGGACATTTTTGGGATGTTTTTGGGGTGTTTTTAGGCTGTTTTGGAGGATGTTTTTGGGATATTTTTGGGATGTTTTTGGGGTGTTTTTTGGCTGGTTTGGGGATGTTTTTGGGATATTTTTGGGATGTTTTTGGGGTGTTTTTTGGCTGGTTTTGGGGATGTTTTTAGGGTGGTTTTGGGGATATTTTTAGGGTGGTTTTGGTGATGTTTTTTGGCTGTTTCTGGGATGTTTTTTGGCTGTTTCTGGGATGTTTTTGGGCTGGTTTAGGGGATACTTTTAGGGTGGTTTTGGGATATTTCTGGGATGTTTTTGGGGTGTTTTTGTCCCCCCAGAGATGTACCAGATCGGGCAGCAGACCCGGGCCCACGAGGGCAGCGTGTTCGCGCTCTGCCGCCGCCGCGACGGGACGGTGCTGAGCGGTGGAGGGAAGGACCGCAGGGTGCTCAGCTGGAGCCCCACCCTGCAGCTGCTGCACGAGGTCGAGGTGGGCAAAAAAACCCCCCAAAAAAAACCACCCTCGGTGCCCCAAAAACCTCCTTTAGAGCCTCAAAAAAAACAGCCCTAAAAAAACTCCTCAAAAAACAGCCCCCGAGGAGCCAAAAATCTCTTTTTAGCGCACCAAAACCTGCTCTGGATACCCCAAAATCTGCCAAAAATGTCCCTTGGTGCCCCAAGAATCCACTCTGGATACCCCAAAATCTGCTTTATTTCCTCAAAAATTGCCCCGAGGAGCCAAAAATCTCCTTTGGTGCCCCAAGAATCCACTCTGGATACCCCAAAATCTCCTTTATTTCCTCAAAAATTGCCCTGAGGAGCCAAAAATCTCCTTTGGTGCCCCAAGAATCCACTCTGGATACCCCAAAATCTGCTAAATTTCCTCAAAAATTGCCCTGAGGAGCCAAAAATCTCCCTTGGTGCCCCAAGAATCCACTCTGGATACACCAAAAATCTGCTAAATTTCCTCAAAAATTGCCCTGAGGAGCCAAAAATCTCCCTTGGTGCCCCAAGAATCCACTCTGGATACACCAAAAATCTGCTAAATTTCCTCAAAAATTGCCCTGAGGAGCCAAAAATCTCCCTTGGTGCCCCAAGAATCCACTCTGGATACACCAAAAATCTGCTAAATTTCCTCAAAAATTGCCCTGAGGAGCCAAAAATCTCCCTTGGTGCCCCAAGAATCCACTCTGGATACACCAAAAATCTGCTAAATTTCCTCAAAAATTGCCCTGAGGAGCCAAAAATCTCCTTTGGTGCCCCAGAGATCTCCCAAAAACCGCCTGGGTACCCCAAAACTCTCCCAAATCCTGCCAGGGCATCCCCAAAATCCTCCCTGGATCCCGAATCCCAAAGGGCTGCAGGATTTTGGGGGGGATTTGGGGGTTTTTGGGGTCCCCCGCTTGCCCTGAGCACCTCAGGGGGTTTTAATGGGGTTTTTTTGGGGGGGTTCTGATGAGGTATTTGGGGTTCATTTTGGGGGTCCCCCGGTTCCCCGAGCATTCAGGGGGTTCTTTCAGTGGGATTTGGGGTTTTTTTTGGGGATCCCCCACCTCTCCGAGCCCTCTGGGGGTCCCTCTCGGGGTATTTGGGGTTCATCTTGGGGGTCCCGGAGAGCCTGGGGGTCCCTCTCGGGGTATTTGGGGCTCATCTCGGGGGTCTCACAGCTCCCGGGGGTCCCTCTCGGGGTATTTGGGGTTCATCTTGGGGGTCCCGGAGAGCCTGGGGGTCCCTCTCGGGGTATTTGGGGTTCATCTCGGGGGTCTCACAGCTCCCGGAGAGCCTGGGGGTCTCTCTCGGGGTATTTGGGGTTCATCTCGGGGGTCCCGGAGAGCCTGGGGGTCCCTCTCGGGGTATTTGGGGTTCATCTCGGGGGTCTCACAGCTCCCGGAGAGCCTGGGGGTCTCTCTCGGGGTATTTGGGGTTCATCTCGGGGGTCCCGGAGAGCCTGGGGGTCCCTCTCGGGGTATTTGGGGTTCATCTCGGGGGTCTCACAGCTCCCGGAGAGCCTGGGGGTCTCTCTCGGGGTATTTGGGGTTCATCTCGGGGGTCCCGGAGAGCCTGGGGGTCTCTCTCGGGGTATTTGGGGTTCATCTCGGGGGTCTCACAGCTCCCGGGGGTCCCTCTCGGGGTATTTGGGGCTCATCTCGGGGGTCTCACAGCTCCCGGGGGTCTCTCTCGGGGTATTTGGGGTTCATCTCGGGGGTCTCACAGCTCCCGGGGGTCCCTCTCGGGGTATTTGGGGTTCATCTCGGGGGTCTCACAGCTCCCGGGGGTCTCTCTCGGGGTATTTGGGGTTCATCTCGGGGGTCTCACAGCTCCCGGGGGTCCCTCTCGGGGTATTTGGGGTTCATCTCGGGGGTCTCACAGCTCCCGGGGGTCTCTCTCGGGGTATTTGGGGTTCATCTCGGGGGTCTCACAGCTCCCGGGGGTCCCTCTCGGGGTATTTGGGGTTCATCTCGGGGGTCTCACAGCTCCCGGGGGTCTCTCTCGGGGTATTTGGGGTTCATCTCGGGGGTCTCACAGCTCCCGGGGGTCTCTCTCGGGGTATTTGGGGTTCATCTCGGGGGTCTCACAGCTCCCGGGGGTCTCTCTCGGGGTATTTGGGGTTCATCTCGGGGGTCTCACAGCTCCCGGGGGTCTCTCTCGGGGTATTTGGGGTTCATCTCGGGGGTCTCACAGCTCCCGGGGGTCTCTCTCGGGGTATTTGGGGTTCATCTCGGGGGTCTCACAGCTCCCGGAGAGCCTGGGGGTCTCTCTCGGGGTATTTGGGGCTCATCTCGGGGGTCTCACAGCTCCCGGAGAGCCTGGGGGTCTCTCTCGGGGTATTTGGGGCTCATCTCGGGGGTCTCACAGCGCCTGGGGGTCCCTCTCGGGGTATTTGGGGCTCATCTCGGGGGTCTCACAGCTCCCGGAGAGCCTGGGGGTCCCTCTCGGGGTATTTGGGGCTCATCTCGGGGGTCTCACAGCTCCCGGAGAGCCTGGGGGCCGTGCGCACGATCGCCGAGGGTCCCGGGGAGGAGCTGCTGGTCGGGACCACCCGGAACGCGCTGCTCCGGGGCACGCTGGGCTCCGGCTTCACCCCCATCGTGCAGGTGCGCTGGGGAGGGGTCCCCGGAGGGTCCCTGGGGAGGGGGTCCCGAGGCGCTGACCCCTCCCCCGGACCCCCCCCAGGGTCACACGGACGAGGTTTGGGGTCTGGCCACGCACCCGAGCTGCTGCCGCTTCCTCACCTGCGGCCACGACCGGCAGCTGTGCCTGTGGGACGGGCGGGAGCACGCGCTGGCCTGGAGCCTGGCGCTGGAGGTGAGACCCCTCCCCAAATTGGGGGGGGAGACCTGGGGAGGGGTCAGGAGCTCGGTTTGGGGGATTTGGGGGGGTTTGGGGGGGGGTT